TTCTATATTCTTTATTTCTGCCCTGATGTTTATTATTTCTCTTCTCCTACTGGGCTTGCGGTGCTCTTGTTGCTCTCCCTCTAGTTCCTTTAGGTGTGCTGTTAGATTTTGCACTTGCATTTTTTCTAATTTCTTGAAATAGGCCTGGAGTGCAATGTACTTTCCTCTTAGGACTGCCTTTGCCACATCTTATGGTTTGGATTGTTGTATTTTCATTTTCATTTGTTTCCATATATTTTTAAATTTCTTCTCTAATTGCCTGATTGGTCCATTCATTCTTTAGTAGGGTGTTCTTTAACATCCATGTTTTTAGAGGTTTTTTAGACTTCTTCCTGTGATTGATTTCAAGTTTCGTAACATTGTGACCTGAAAGTGTGCATGGTATGATCTCAATTCTTTTATATTTATTGAGGCCTGATTTATGTCCAAGTAAGTGATCTATCTAGGAAAATGTGCCAACAGCCCTTGAAAAGAAAGTGAATTCCATGGCCTCAGGATGTAGAGTTCTTAATATAACTGTCAAATCCATCTGGTCCAATGTGTCATTCAAGTCCATTGTGTCTTTAGTGATTTTCTGTCTAGTTGATCTATCTATTGCTGTAAGTGGAGTATTAACGTCCTCTGCTATTAGCACATTCTTATTGATAGTACACAATCATAGAAAAAGCGGAAGCTGAGAAAAAGAGAGATAAACTGATACAGGAACATGAAAGGAGAGTTCCAGAGATCAGCGATACAGTCAAATGGAATAGTATCCATATCATAGGAATTCCAGAAGAGGAAGAGAGAGGGAAAGGCACTGAAGGAGTCCTTGAACAAATTATAGCAGAGCTTCCCCAATCTGGGGAAGGAAACAGATGTTGAAATCCAAGAGGCACAGAGAACTCCCCTCAAACGTAACGTGAGTCAATCTTCGCACGACATATCATAGTGTAACTGGCTAAGTATAAGGACAAAGGGAGAATTCTGAAAGCAGCTAGGGAGAAAAGGGCCCTAACATACAAAGGGAAGTCTATCAGAGTGGTGACAGACCTATCTACTGAAACTTTGCAGGCCAGAAAAGAATGGCAGGAAATCTTCAATGTGATGAACATAAAAAATATGTAGCCAAGAATCCTCAAATACAGCAAGCCTTTCATTCAGAATAGAAGGAGACATAAAAGTCTTTCCAAATAAACAAAAATTGAAAGAATTCGTCACCACTAAACCAGCCCTACAAGAAATCCTGAGGGGGACTCTCTGAGGGAAATCTTGCAAGGAACGCAAGATACCAGAGACACCAACACAAGTATGAATCCCACAAAGGACACAATGACTCTAAACTCATATTTTTCAATAATAACATGAATGTAAATGGACTAAATGCCCCCAATCAAAAGACAAAGTGTAGCAGAATGGATAAAAAACACAATCCATCCATTTGTTGTTTACAAGAAATGCAATTTAGACTGGAGGACACCTTCAGAATGAAAGTAAGGGGATGGAGAAATTTCTATCATGCTACTGGAAGTCAAAAGAAAGCTGGAGTAGCTATACTTATATTAGACAACATAGACTTTAAAGTAAAGACAGTAACAAGCGTTGAAGAAGGGCATTAAATAATAATTACAGGGTCTATCCATCAGGAAGAGCTAACAATTATAAATGTCTACGTACCAAATGTGGGAGCACCTAAGTATATAAAACAACTAATCACAAACAGAAACAGTCTTATGGGGAACTATCTCTTTGAAATGTAATAATCAAGGAAGATGAGCACTTGATCTCTTGGATTCTGTGGGAGGGTCAGAGCCTAACTTCAAGGGCACATTGGTCGAAGTTGCAAAACTACCTCCTTTCATGAAGACACAAGAGAGTTTACTCTTCCTATGGGTAAAGTCAATTGGCAAACAGAGATGGGCCAGGATCTCCCCCTTCATCCTAGTTCTTAAAACCCCTACTGTCTTTTGTGTCACTGGAGTTGAGTGCAGACTCATTTCTTTTCTATTGCAATAGCCTTTAATACAGTTCTTTGCTTTTTTTATTTTATCTAGTGCAATTTTTGCTTTGATAATATCACAGAATCAGAGAAGTAAAAATGTGGCAATAGCAGTAGGTACTGAAATGCAATTTGTAAAATTACGTACCCACTGCTAATAAATAAGAATAGAAAGAAACTACTACAATGAAATTAGAAAATATTATCTCAAAAGTGAAATACTAAAAAAATTTCAGTTAAATTCAAGAATAAGCCATGGATCCTCATTGATACCATTATTAAATGTTATAAGTTTTCACAAAATAAAAAAGAAAAATGAAATTACTATATGGATATTAGAAATAAAGACTATAAAATATTTTTTTTCTTTGTTGTATAATTGCATGTCTAGGAAATTTAAGAGATAATAGTAAATGAAAAAAGAGTTAAGAGATTTTGAGACAGTGGCTCACTGCATCCAGCTAGATTCAGCTGCAATCACAGAAAGGGAATTTGATAGATGTCTCAGCTGCTTATGAAAATGTTTAAGAAGGGCTAGGGAAGCAGGCACTAGAATGATCTCCTAGTTATTTTCTAGAGCCTCTGCTCTATGATTATAAAATGAAAGATATCCTTTCAGCATAGGGAAGAAAGCCCCTGAAGTTCATTCTGTACCTTAAGGTTAAAAGTCAAGAAATAAAATAATTATCTTGACAGCAGAAGACCTGTGGTCTTGGCATTCCTCTTCCTCTTGGACTTACTAATTTTAGCACTTCCTCCTTATTCACAGAGTTAACACAATCTCCACAGTCTCAGGCTATCATTGGTCTTAAGAGTGGCAATTACATTATCATGAGAAGAAAAAATGAAACTACAACTCACTTCATTGTGCACATCTTAGCACAATAAGTAATTCCACATATGTCACTTCCCTGAGGGTTGTTGTCTACAAATCAATCTCCCATTCCTATTTCAAAACTAATTCGGTTTCTTTGAAAGAAACAAAAACTGACTGGATAACCTGATAAAAGGCAGAAAAAGAATTTTTAGAAAAAACAAAGAAGGGTGATTCACAAAACAGAAGAGGAAGGGTACCAGAATAATCATTTCTTTTCTCAAATCTTAACCAAACAGTATCTTACCTTTATTATTGTACTTAATCATTGCAACAGGTTTGAGACAGGTTTATTTAGTTTTCCTTTACTGTTGCAGAGATGAGGATCTAAACACTTTGCATTTCACTGAAGTTCAGTTGATTTAATCTCACCTTTGAAACCTGTATCAGTTACCATTCTTTGGTTATAAGCAACTGAATCTGGTAGTAAATAATTCTGAAAAGGATCTGTGAGTCATGTAGACTTACTGGAGGGGACAGTTCAATGACTGAGAGCACAGACTCTGTTCAAACTGCAGAGGTTAAATTCCAACTCCACCATGTCCTTGCTATGAATCCCTGGAGAGTCAAATATCCTCATCTCTGCAACAGTAAAGGAAAACTAAATAAATCTGTCTCATACCTGTTGAAATGATTAAGTACAATAATAAAGGTAAGATACTGTATTAGTTTTCTACTGCTGCTATAAAAAATTACCACAAACTTAGTGCCTTAAAATAACAAAAAATATATTATCTCACAGTTCTGGTCAGAATCTGGATGGGCTCAATTGATTCCACTGGATCACAGAAGGCCAAAATCAAGCCAACAGACATTACCTGAAGGATCTGGAGGAGACATCATTCAGTTTGTTGGCAGAATTCAGTTCCATGAATTTCATGAACTGAGGTTCCTATTTCTTGGTGGTTATTCTCACTTTTTAGAGGCCACTCACAATCTCTGATTCATGGCCCTCATCGATGAGTAAAACTAGCAATGCTAGGTTGAGTTTATCTTATGCTTATATTATCTCTGACCTTCCCTTCTGCCTCACTGTTTCTGCCTATAGCTGGAGAAGCTTCCCTGCTTTTAAGGATTCATGTGATTACGCTAAGCCTACCTGGAAAATCTAGGATACTCTCCCTATTTTAAAGTCTGTAACTTCATATGTCTGTCCATTCCCTTTTGCCATATAACGTATTAATAGTTTCTAGGGATTAGGAGGACCTCTTTGGGTGGCCAGCCTGCCTATTACAGGAACTTAGCACAAATCTTGGCTTGAGTTAAGAAATATAACAAATTAGAGGGTGCCTAGGTGGTTCAGTCTGTTAAGCATCCTGACTCTGACTCTTGATTTTAGGTCATGATCTCACAGTTCATGGGATCAAGCCCCGCATTGGGCTCCATGCTGACAGCACAGAGCCTGGTTGGGATTCTTGCTCTCCCTCTGCCCCTCCCCACTCATACATGCTCTGCTCTCTGTCACAAACTAAATAAACACACTTTAAAAAAAGAAATGTAACAAATTAGTTATTGTCACTATATTTGTTAAAAATATGACTTCAGGAAGGACAACTGCTAGGCAAGCTGGATTTCATGGACTCTTTAGGCACTACAGTCAGATTGATTCTGTTCTAAATGCTGTCTTTTCTTGTTGTTTATTCCTGCTAAGTACTTGAATTTCCTAGAGTTAGATTCTAAATAACCTCACTTGGGTCTTGGTTTTGCTCTTTGCCTCAATGCACTGTCAGGAGAAAGGGGTAAAAAAGTTAGCCTATCCTAGGTTATAGGATCTCCCCACTTACAGATCCATATGAATCTGAGAGAACTAGTTTTCCTGAGAATTTGGGTGTAATCACTTGAAGAAGTGTGAAAGAGCAATGAGTAACCAATAGCAATAGATGTCCACATAGATATGGGGGAAAAAAATCAACATTTTTATAAAATGACCCCTTGAAAAGAAGACTGATTCATTTCTCCTTTCCTGAATAAGACTGAACCTGAATCATCCTGAGATAATAGTTTTCTGTCCTCTTCACAAGCATTTTCAAGGAAATAATTCCCTATAGTATCTACCATCATGGACAATCAAGAAACTCTCCTTAAAATCCATTATATGATCAGGTAGCATAATAATTCAGTCTCCCTTTAGTCATAATTTTGTGTCTATTACATGAGAGAATGAAAATATTTTCTGAACATTCTTCCCATAGCTGCCTTCACCTCCTTGTTCTGCAGGCTGTAGACTAGGGGGTTCAGCATGGGAGTGACCACACTGTATTGCAAGGAGAACATCATTTCCAGATGGGAGCCTGAAGTTGGCAAGAGGTAGCTGAGGAAACCTGAGCCATAGAACAAGATCACAGTAGTGAGGTGAGAAGAGCAAGTAGAAAAGGCCTTGCTTCTGCCTGAGGTAGAGCTGATGCTCAGGATGGTGGAGACAATGCGGGCATAGGAAAAAACAATCATAATGAAGGTTCCAAAGAAATGCAAGACAGAGGAGCACAGCAGGAGTGTGAAGTTGGTGGAGGTATCAGAGCAAGACAGAGGGAAGAGGGAAGACAGCTCACAGCTGAAGTGCGGAAGAGTCTGGTCCTCACAATACTCTAAATTGACAGCTAAGAGGATATTGATGAGAGCATCAACAAAGGCTAGGCCCCAGGAACCCCACACCATCCCAACGCAGAGTTGGTTGCTCATCAACTGGCCATAGAGCAGAGGGGAGCTGATGGCTATATAGCGGTCATAGGCCATCACAGCCAGCAGACAGGCCTCCGTGCCCCCAGTGGCAAACACAAAGAAGGCCTGAGCCAGGCAGCTCTCTACAAAGATGATTTTGCTTTCAGAAAGTAGATTCTCCAGCATCTTGGAGACTGTGACAGTTGAGTGGCAGAGGTCCAGGAAGGACAGTTGTCTCAAAAAGAAGTACATGGGCGTGTGGAGGTGAGAATCAGTCCTAATCACCAGCAGCATCAAGAAATTTCCCATCAAAGTGAAGAGGTAAATCAGAAAGAACAGCACAAAGAGTATGGCCTGAATATTGGGGTCAGTAGATAGTCCAAGGAGAATGAACTCACTGATAGCACTGTAGTTTTTCATTGCCATATAGAGAAGTGTTCTCTCTGGAAAACAAGAAGATCCACCAAAAGTCTTTCAGTGCCTCTTAATTAGCCCAGAACCTAGATCTTATTCTACATGAATACCTTTTCACTAATGTCCCATAATCCACATTCGGGTATTTAAAAGTTAACTTCTTGGCCATCATCTTGCCACTGATATTTTAAATAAGCCATGATCCTATTTTTTACTATATTTTTTTCTGAAACTATAATGATTTTATGTTGTTTAGAGGGTACATTTGAAAAGAAGTTTCCTGATACGAGAAGAAGGTGGAAAAGAAGATTTCAGGAGTGAATTACTTGAGAAATTGAGATAGGATTAAATCTAGAGTAAAAGGACTTAGGTAGGAGCAGGGATACTTTGTCATTTCTATGTCTAAGAGAAGGTCAAGAGTGCAAGAAGTGAACTTCCATTTGACTGCCTCCATTAGGTTTCAATAAGGTGTAAATGAGATCATGGGTTGTGCATGTGTATGTGTGTGAGCATGCCCACATCTACACAAGGAATTATAAAGGTATTAATAATGATAAAATTAAGTGCACAATCTTGAGAAAAGGGGCCAAGGTGAAGTGTAAGAAACTATTAGAGGATAGGAGGACAATAAGACATCAAGGAATTAGAAACTGGCTGTGGAATTAGATTGCTCTGGATTTTTTTAACTTTAAATTCCCTTCATTTTAATTAATGGCATCATGTTGTAATTTAATTTTAAAATACATTCACAAAATAATAATAAATTTTCAAAAACTGAAAGCTTAGATCATCATATCCAGTGATGTGTTAGGTGGGCTCTTGTGGGCAATGCTATGACTATAATGGGTCATGGGAAGCTGTCCCCAGGTGATAAGACAATGCTCTGTCTGGTTAGATCACCAGGCTAACGCTAAAAATCATATATCCAGTAATATATGTAGTCATTACTCCTGTCTGCCATTATTGCAGGCTTTCAGGCCCCCACATGGTTATCTAAACTTTCTCCTCATACATTTCTCGTGATATTCTAAACTTCACCTGAGTCTCAATATAACTGTTCAATATTCTTGCCTCAAACTTGAAGCCCTTCCTGGCCCTTACTGTTCTAACTCAACACTACTTCATTTCCTTCATCAGCAAACTGAGGAATCAATTCTGTTGTCATTCACTCACTGTACAACTAATGCTTCCCAGCCCACATAAGGAACAAAACCTAATTACCTGAATTCTCAGTTGGTAGCACACTGGTTTTGTGCCAAAAATATTTTCAGATCCAGTAAGTAATAAAACTCTTCAGCTTGTGAAGTCAACATTAAGAATACTGCTTTAAGGGAGAAGTAGAAAATTGTATGTTGGATGTTAACATTTATGATGGATTCGACACTAGCAATGTAAAATAATAAATTTTGAGTAATATCTAGAAATTTATTTATAGTTATTTGGGGTCAGAATATAGGAGATAATATCTTAAATTCTTCCTTTTTCACTCTTTAGATATAGCAATATTGTGCATGGAGGCTCCCAATATTCATTCTGACATCACCCCCATGGTCCCCAGAGCAAAGCAAGAGAACCCAAGTAAGGGTTCACAGTAGCCAGGGGTGAGGCTTGTGTTGTATAATTTCAGAGACAGCACATACAAAGGAATTCCCTTTCTCTTGGCTACCAACAAACAGTCCAACTAACTAGATCCAGAGATTCCATGAACTATAGAGACAATCCCAACCTTGGATCAAGGCAATACCTTGCAAAGAAACAACCATTCTGATAAAAATCAATGCTAGGGTTTGATTTCACAGTAAGTTTCTTCTTTAACATTATTTAGAGATTCTCAGAACAATCTTTTAAAAAGAAAATTAAGGAGTGATATCAGTAAGATGGCAGAATTGGAGGTCCCAGCCCTTATCCCTCCAAGAAACAGGAATTTAACAAGCATTCGGGGCGCCTGGGTGGCTTAGTCGGTTAAGCATCCGACTTTCGCTTAGGTCATGATCTCGCAGTTCGTGGGTTCGAGCCCCGCGTCGGGCTCTGTGCTGGCTGCCGGCTCAAAGCCTAGAGCCTATTTCGGAGTCTGTGTCTCCCTCTCTCTCTGACCCTCCCCTGCTCATGCTGTCTCTCTCTCTCCTAGAAATAAATAAAAATATTAAAAAAAAACACACACACAAAAAAACAAGCATTCATGGATGAAAATACCTTTATGAAAGATCTGGAATCCAGGTGAGACATTACAGCACCCTAGTGGAATACAGAAATGAGAAAAGACACATTTGAGAGGGTAAGAAATACCTTTACCCATATCAACCCTCTCACAACTCAGCACAGGGAAGCACAAAAAAAGGTATCCTTGACCAAGTTCTCCCACGGAGGAAAGAGACAGCAAGCATACCCATGGATGCCAGCCCCAGATTTACTGCCTACACACCCCAGCACTACCTGCCTGCCTGTGAATCCCAACACAAGGCACAAGGCTAGCCCACATATCCCATCAGCCAGCCTGCTCATGGTTCCCACCAACCAGCCTACCCAGAATCTCTGGCCTGGCTGATGGTGAAGGACTTTCCTTGCTGAAGAAGTTTCCTCTTGAAGAAACATCTGCACTCCAATATTCATTGTCATATTATTCACAGTAGCAAGACATGGTAGCAACCTAAGAGTCCATCAATAGATTAATGAAGGAATAAAGAAAATGTCTTATATACATGTAATAGAATATTACTCAGCCTTAAGAAAAAGAGGAAATCCTGCCATTTTCAACAACATGGATGAACTTGGAAGACTAAAGGTTAAGTGAAATAAACCAGACACAGAAGGAAAAATACTACATGATAACACTTATATGAGAAATCTTAGTCAACCTCATAGAAGCAGAGACCAGAACATGGCTGTCAGGGGCTGGGAGGAGGAGAAAACAGGGAGGTATTAATTAAAGGGTACAAAATCAGTTACACAAAATGAGTAAGTCCTAGAGATCTACTATATTCCATGGTGACAATAGTTAGTAATTCTGTACTATATCCTTAAAAGTGACTAAGATGGCAAATCTTAAATGTTCTTATGACACACAAAAAGTCACAATAATAAATAAAGAGGGTGGGAGGAAACTTTTGGAGGTGATGGATATGTTTATGGCATAAATTGTTATGGTGGTCTCACAGATGTATACTTATCTCCAAACTATTCACATGTACACATAGAAACGATACAGCTTCTTCTTTGTCAATGTCATCTCAATAAGGTGCTTTAAATGTTATATTAAAGCATTTTTATTGTGGCTGATTCCTGAAACATCACCATTATTGATTTATTCTTCAATCTCTATTTCAAAATTTAAAGTAAACAGCTCTGTGAACATAATATAATAGGTTTATTTCTAGATATTAACAGCATTATGTGGAGGAAATTAATTGGCTCTTGCCCAAAGTAAAAGTTCTCTGAGAAGTGTTAATTTCAGAATCAGACAAAGGATACGAAGCATAATAAATAGCCCATAAGAGTTACTCAGAATGTGATGGTGAAAAATATGAATGAATAAATGAATGAATGGTAAACTACTTTTTAAAGACAAGCCAGTCTATGGGATGAAGACACATGCTTCTATATGGTCTGTATTAGTTGTAGTCCCATGGTTTGTAAGGGGCACTTGCCGTTAGGGGAAAACATAAAATGGGAGGGGCCAAAGATAACCATCACCTATTTTCTATATGGGCCCTGGTTTTGCTTTATGTCCAGCTCCTTGACCAATTAGGTACCTCATATGCTCTGAGGTAGATTAAGGGAGATCTTTGGTTTGGTTTGGTTTCACAAAGCTTTACTAAACAAACTTGGAAATCAATAGTATTATTACATAAATTAGACTGTAGTATAATTTCCCATCCTTTACAAATCACAGTGATTCCTATTATGCAATCGATTGACAAGATTTTGAACAGTACTTTCCCACATGAGTGAGGAAGAGCTATATACATCGCATAGTAACTAAGATCACCTTATGGAGTTTCCAGTTCCAGCTTCCCAGGAAAAGCACCAAATGACAAAGCTTACTGCCTCACATCTGTGATACCCTATAGCAGTCACATTTGCCCTACAAGCATGGACAAGATGATAAAGCTGCCCATAGGACAGCACAAAAAGAATGATGGTGAAATACCATCTTAGAGGACAAGGAAGCACTACATACATTTCAAAAGGCTTCAAATCCCATCTGTTAAAACACAAACTCAGTTACTAGATATCTACTGAATTACTGTTAATCATCTCAGGTCTGTCAACGGGATTGTGATTATATAAGAGAATATCCTTATTCATAGGAGATAAATGCTTAGGTATCCATGAGTGAGGTGTTACAATGTCCTATTACTTTCAAGTGATTCAGCAGACTAAATTAGATAGATAGATAGATAGATAGATCAATAGATCTAAGTTAATAAAGTATCCGTAGCAAAATGCTCACAATTTATGGATCTAGGTAAAAGTTATACTATCATATTACTTTCAACTTCCCAGTATGTTTATCATTTTTTATTTTATTTTATTTTCTATTTATTTTTAATTTTTTTTAATGTTTACTTATTTTTGAGAGCAAGAGAGAGACAGAACCTGAGCTGGGGAGGGGCAGAGAGAGAAGGAGACACAGAATCTTTAGAGGCTCCAGGCTCTGAGCTGTCAGCACAGAGCCTGATGTGGGGCTCAAACTCACAAACCACAAGACCCCATGACCTGAGCTGAAGTGGAATGCCTAACTGACTGAGCCACCCAGGTGCTCCAGTATAATTTTTTTATGTTTTAAGTTTATTTATTTGCTTTTGAGAGCAAGAAAGAGCAAGCACAAGTTGGGGAGAACAGAGAAGAGAATCTGACTCAAGCTCCATGCCGCCAGCGTGGAGCTCGATGTGGGGCTTGAACTCACAAACCATGAGATCATAACCAGAGCAGAAGTCAATGCTTAACCAACTGAGCCAGCCAGGTATCCTTGTTTGTAATTTTTTTAAATGAAAAATGCTTTTCAAATTTTG